CTGAGAGGTACAGAAGAAAAGTGGGCCATTCTGAACAGGTTGATGTCATCTCTGTGGGCAGGAAGGAAGATCCAGGGAACTACAGGTTAGTCAGCCTCACGTCAGGCCCTGGGAAGGTGATGAAGAAAATCCTGGAAACCATTTCCAAACACATGAAGGACAAGAAGGTGATCAGGAGTAGTCAGCATGGATTTACAAAGGTCCGGTCATGCTTGCCCAGCCTTACTGCCTTCTATAATGAGGTGACTAGCTTGGTGGTCAAGGGGAGAGTGGTGGATGTTGTTTACCTTGATCTTGGTAAGGTTATGGTCTCCCATAACATCCTCATAGACAAGCTGACAGGGTATGGCTTCACTAAGTGGGCAGTGAAGTGGATTTAAAACTCTCTGAATGGCCAGGCCCAGAGGGTTGTGGTACAAGGTCCTTGGAGGCCAGTGGCATACCCCAGGGGTCAATACTGAGGCCAGTACTGTTCAATATCTTTGTTAATGACCTGGATGATGGGGCAGAGTGCATCCTTGGCAAGTTTGTAGGTGATAAAAAAACTGGGAGGAGTGGCTGATGAGCCAGAGGGTTGTGCTGCAATGGAGAGGGACCTTGAGAGGCTGGACAGAGAGGAATCTCATCAAGTTCAACATGGGGAAATGCAAAGCCTGCATCTGGGGATATCTGAGGGTAAGCCCCTGCACCAGTACAGACTGGGGGCTGACTGGCTGGAAAGCAGCTTCTGCAGAGAAGAACCTCGGGGTCCTGGTGGACAACAAGCTGAGCATGAGCCAGCAATGCACCCTTGTGGCAAAGAAGGCCAACAGCATCTTCAGTCTGCTTTAGGGAGAGTGTTGCCAGCAGATCGGGATCCTTCCCCTCTACTTGAATGCAGGTGAAACCACATCTGTGGTGCTGTGTGCAGTTCTGGGCTCCACTGTGCAAGAGAGGCATAGACTTACTGGAGTGAATCCAGCACAGTTCCACCAAGGTGATGAAGGTTCTGGAGCATCCTCTCAGTTTTTCCTCACGTGAAGAGCTGGGACTGTTCAGCCTGGATCAGAGAAGGTTCAGGGGAGCCCACCAACTTGTATAAATACCTGATAGGAGGGAGTGAAGGACAGGGAGATGTAGTCTTCTCAATAGTGCCTAGCGACAGGACAGGAGGCAGTGGGCACATGAAAGTCAGTCTGAATATCAGAAAACTCTTTTTCACCATGAGGGTGATCAAACACTGGCACAGGTTGCCCAGAGAGGTTGTAGAGTCTCCATCCTTGGAGATACTCAAAACCTAGCTGGACACGGTCCTGGGCAACTAGTGCTAAGTGTCCCTGCTTGAGTAGCAGGGTTGGACAAGATGACCTCCAGAGGCTCCTTCTAACCTCAACCATTCTCTGATTCTGTGATCCTTGCTGTGAGCATGAGACACAATTGGATCACATCTTACATTTCCCAGATAGCTGGGACACACTTTGTGCTGCTGCAGCCCCTCTCTCAGCCCCCAGCCCTGGGTGTGGCTGGCTGGCCTGGCCTATGCCTGGCACACTGAGCAAGTGGTGTCATAGCACAAGGAGAAAAGGGTCTTGAGCCTTGCCCTCATCACTTAAAGGCAGCAGCAGCATAACCCCTAACCCTTCTTTGTTGTGAAGATCAGATCTCCCAGCCCATGTCCCACCTCTCATTAACATCCTTGAAAGATCTCACCCTGTTTTAGGGGCCATGAGTTGGCTTTTGAAGGAAGACTGTATCAGGAAGAGCAAATTATGTTTCATTTTTGGTAGAGCTGTGCTCACTTCAAATCAGAACGGAGTTTAGGCTTGGGAGCTTGTGTCAGTGCTATTCAAGATCCAATGTTTTCCACAGGCATTTTGCAGAGGATGTGGTTGCCTCGTCTCCAGCTCAAAATAGAGATGAGAATGCAGACTCTTACCATCTTTCTTTTATGATGTCTGTTCTGTCTGGTAAGGTGTTGAGTGCCTGCTGGCAATTGCTGACTGCCTTTAGTTCACATTGGCTTCACTGCAAGATAGTTCCTGATATATGCCAGTGTTCCTAAACACGGTTCATGACTCACTTCAAATATCTGGTCCAATGGAAAGTCAAGAAGTGGATTAGTTTAAGCTGATCAACTGTGAAACAGAGTAAATACGGAACTTTTTAAATCCAAAAATCCCTCCTTGGAGTTTATTGATGCCTATGTTCTTTGTTTAGCTTTTCAGAAATCAGAAAGCACTTAAACAGTAGTGTCCTGCAATGTGTCCCCCGCTGCTTTTGTAATGCAGGTATGAAGCCTGGATTTATTTGTGGAGCATATTGAAATCTTCTAATGAGACTGTCCATCACTTGACCTGTACTGCTGGTCTGACTGGCTTGCTGGCTATGGGTTACCTGTCTGCTACTCTCAGAATCTATGAAATACTATATTGAAATGGAAATGGCAGTGCTCTAATTTTTTTTTTTTTGTGCCTCTAGTTTTTATTTCCAAGACATACTAACCTACTCCCCTGAGCACAACTAACATTTGAGCATTTAATTGCGTTGCCATTCATTTCTCTCTCTGTGCCACAAACTGCCTTCTAAGATATATAGAATCATAGAATTGTTTAGGTTGGAAAAGACCTTGAAGTTCATCAAGTCCAACCGTTAACCTAACACTGCCAAGTCCACCACTAAACCAGGTCCCTAAACACCACATCTAGATGTCTTTTAAATACCTCCAGGGATGGTGACTCCACTACTTCCCTGGGCATCCTGTTCTGATGCTTGACCACTCTTTCAGTAAAGAAATTTTTCCCACTATCCAATCAAAACCTCCCCTGGTGCAACTTGAGACCATTTCTTCTTGTCCTATTGCTTGTTATTTGGGAGAAGAGACCAACCCCCACCTCACTGCAACCTCCTTTCAGGCAGTTGTAGAGAGCAATAAGGTCTCCCCTCAGCCTCCTCCAGGCTGAACAACCTCAGTTCCCTCAGCCGCTCCTCATAAGCCTTGTGCTCCAGACCCCTCACCAGCTTTGTTGCCCTTCTCTGGACATGCTCCAGCACCAGCATCTCAATGTCCTTGTAGTGAGGGGCCCAAAACTGAACACAGTATTTGAGGTGTGGCCTCACCAGTGCCAAGTACAGAGGGGCAATCACTTCCCTGCTCCTGCTGGCCACACTGTTGCTGATAGAAGCCAGGATGCTGTTGGCCCTCTTGGCCACCTAGGCACACTGCTGGCTCATGTTCAGGCGGCTGTCAACCAGCACCTCCAGGTCCTTTTGCGCTGGGCAGCTGCGTATGTTGAACTGTATCCTGGGCACTTGAGTATTAACCATTTTATCACTCAATTTCAAGTTCACTGGAAACAGGGATTACAAGGGGGAAAAAACATACAGTCATAACCCGGTATATCATAATAAACTGGTATCTCGTGAAGGAACTTTGGTATTTGTTACTTTTAAAGGAAATAAGCTCTATTTCCTACATTTGTTAGCATTCTTTTTCAACAGGTGAGTTTTAAACTCTGACTGTACCTGCTAGCCATGCAGGCAGTATAGTGTGGCAAACATGGTATAGCTTTATGAAAAGGTGTTGATATTGTGCCCTCATACTGTGCCCTCACACCTGTCCTGTGAAATAGTATTATGTGCTTCTGAGCAGAGAACCCTCTTTAGAAACTGCATGTAAATCTCATGTTGTGAAATGTATGCAAAGAAAGGAAATCTTTGAAAGAAATACCTATTGCCACACAGTGTTTTCTTCCTACCTATAAGCCGAGGCACATCTAAAATCAAAGGGAGAACCTTTACTAATTGTTTTTGGAATTGTTTTAATTGTGAAGTACACTTGAAATGGAAAGCATGTTTGTTCAAATCCATGTTTGTACCCTGTGCTTAGGAGCTGAGCAGATACTTCCCTGACTGGTTGGTACCTTGTATCTTCTTATTTCTGAGGAATAGCACACCTCAGATGAATTTCCTTATCTTGTCCATGGATAGCTCACCTTCTTCTTTATGCTGCTTCTCAAATTTTTATTTTTATACCTTTTTATTTTATACCTTCTCTTTTATACCCACCCCCACCCCCCCCCCCCCCCACACCAGCCAGTGGCTTAGAACTAGGTCTGGTTTAAACTAAGTTTTTTTTACCAGTGCATCTTATTGTTTGGATGATGGTTGTACTTCAAGGATCCAGTCCTTCTTATCCTTTGTACACAGTAAAAAAGTTTATAATGGTTTAAGCATGAAATGAGCCAAGAGGCAGATTTTTAATACTTCTGTGAATTAGCTCTTCCTTTTTATTTTGTACGCTGTAAATGAAACTGAGAACTGATTATTGCAATGGCACCTGAAGAAGGAAGACCTCTTTTAGCCTTTGGTAGTTAGAGAAGTGTTGTCCTCATCCCACCTTTATCCAAGAGCAAGATTCAACACTTGCCATGACTTGTTGAGTCTTCCTGTACAGTGAAATTTCATTAAATTTCATTTTAATTTTCTCATGAAAAAGTGTCTTGTATCACTTCAAGCATTCCAGGTTATAGGGTTAATGACTTGCTGATCTCCTTCTGATTGTTCGAGTTCTTCAACAGCTAAGTCAGATGACTCTTTGCTTAACTGATGTTAAGATTCAAGGAACCAAGGTGGATGTTCTGTGGCAGGCTGAGCCAGTGTGGTTACCAGCTGCTGCCACCCTGCCTGTCAGTCCTTCCTATCCTTTCCCTTGAGTACCAGCTTCTCCCTCGCGCTCCCTTGCTCACCTGACCCTGCCTTGTGTGATGGCAGAGCCAGAGTGAAGCTATTTGCTTTTTTTAGTAGTTCACTTTTCTGCTGGCTTAGTACACTGAGGTGGCTCAGGACAGATGAGTGGAGGAGCCAGTACCTGATAGGGAGGGAAACCAGAGTGAGAAGAAGATGACAAAGGCCATAGCCCCTCATGAAACCACAGCTTAATGTAGACTTGGTGTATGTAGACATAGATTGGACAAAATGTCATTAAAATTACCTCAGAATAGAAGAACTGGGCCAGAAGTCTTTAAATGCTGAATTACAGAGAGCGTTGCTTTGTTGCCTTCTAAGAAATGTAGCATCTCTGAAAGCTCTGCCATGCACAAGGTGCAAGACTGTGCGTTTAGGATTCCCCAGTGGCTAGGCTGTGAGACCCAGAGAACAGGCATGGTATGGACAGAAACACTAACCATGCAGGATGCTGCTGTGATGTTACACTCCCAAACCAGAGGGCAGGAATGTATTTGGGGAGACAGGGACTGGGGCAATACTGTGCATTTTCAAAGGCACCTCCATTCTGAGAAGCATTGAGCATGATCCAGCCCTGCACCTCAAAGTCCTGGCTTCCCTACCCTCTATCTATTTCAAAGATGGGAGGAGATGTAGGCTTACTTTAGCACAGAAGCCTGTTACTGGCTTGGACTGAGCATCACTTACAATGCTAATACCAACTGCTTGGACTGCCACAGTAAAAATAATGGAGCCAGACCAGATCTAACAATAGCTTAGCGGCTTGCGTGGGAAAGGATCCCGAAGCATTGAGTTTCCTCTTTGGAGCCACCTTTTTGAGGTGGTTCACTGTCGCAACATTGATGTAGCTTTTTGGGTGGAGTTTGGCCAAGGTGCAAGATCTTGTGAACTTCTTCTGAAGTTTTTATGTGTGTATAGAGCTTTTGGTTGCACTTGAGGATGTGTATGTTTAGCCTGTCCGCTTAGAACTGGGCAGGTGAAACTCAGTTAAAACTGCAGCAGGAAGAATCTAAGCTATGTTGTCTGGGTGTTGGGGTTTTTTTTTCCTTTTAATCATAAGGAAATTGTTCTAATAATGGATGCTGTTGGTTAGGAATTTGGAAGATGAGTGTGCAGGAAAGGATGGTGCAGTCTTGAAGTGCCAGCTTCTTCAGATAGTTTTTTAATGTCTTGGAGAAACACTTAAAATGTGAATCATTACTGCTCCTGGCTGATTTCGGATGAAATAAAAATCACAGTGGCTGAAAGCATGCATTGACAAAGTCTGTAATAAGAAAATACTCTGGTATACCTTCAGTAGATTTATTTTTATCACCCAGCCTAGCCAGGCTGGTAGAAGTAGCAAGATCAGTAAAATAACCAAGTATATTTAGATTAAAAAAATAAAATAACTTTCGTCCTTTGCAAGCCTACAACTGAAAGAAGTTGTACAATGATGCTTTATAGTTTTATGTGACAATGTTAACATATTAAAGCTTTATAACTATTGTATTGGGGGTGGGGTGAATTAATCAGTTTCTCCAAATGTTTATATTATTTGCTATAATGCTATGGCCTCCTAATACTTCTGCTCTGTAGGTGGTAGAAAAGGAAGAGTAAAACTGCTAGCTCAGTTGCAGCAAGGTCCTCCAATTTTGCATGTGAGAACTCTCACTAAATGGAAGTAAAGGCACATGTGTTTGTGGGCACCTTAATTTTTACAGCTTTCAGTGATTTCTTTCTGAAAGTCCATGGGCTTCAGATGGTTCAGTTGCCGGTGCAACTCCAGGCATTCAATGCCTCTTCTCTATTTGACACCTCTTGTATTGTATATAGAGACTTCTTCAGGTTGGATTCTTCAGGCTGAAACTGCTGCTTTCCTCCTAGTAGTTGGCTCTTTCCCCACTCATAATAGTTGTTTTAGCTCATCTAACAGCAAATTTTAAAACATTATTGCCATGCTCATTACTTTGTCCTCCATTTTGTTGGGACCATCCAATTTACATTAAGTATTTGTCTTCTGTTTCTAAGTGCCATTTTGTTGTGTTTAAAATCAACTCCATGGTCCTCTGAGCACCATTGTAAAAATCTTTAATGTGCCTTTTATCTTTCAGATCTCACTGCTGGTTGGATTCATCAGTGTAAATAATTCTCCATGGACGGATTACAGTGCATACAGCTACTTTCAGATTGTCACCATGTGTGACTTGGTTATGATTTTGTTCTTCTACATTATCCACATTTTCAGAATCTACAGGAAGCTCACTTGTGTTAGCTGGCCACTTGCAGTAAGTCTGGGTTCCTTGCCTCTCTTGTAGGTTGATGTCTCAGTTAGTCCATTTTCTTGTGCTATCACACAATGGTAGGCTGTTTTTTGCATACTCCTTTTTTGTCTGTATACAAATCCTTTTGTTGCTTTTGTTATTAGCATTCAGTTCAGCAGATGCTGTACCTGTAAGTTTTTTAGCTGATTTGGAGCTGATCCTGCCCTCCTTTACACAGATCTAAATCTAGATTTACTCCAGGGAAGGCAGTAGTGTTATTCTGAGACAATTGAAAAGAAGCTCTTGATTATCAAGCCTTCAGCAGGTGGGTCCTAGCTCAGGTCATTTATAGCAGCTAAGGGATTGCTCAATTACCAAATCAGCATTAGAATTCCTGTACTATATCCTGTCTCAAAATAAAGTCTGCTAGTGCTATTTAAGTCAAATGTATCTCTTTTTGGTATGGTTTTAGGTTACTTAAACAATAGCAAGAAATAGGAGCTTCAGCCTGATTGCCATAGCCTGGCCATTCCTGGGATATCCTGCAGGATGTTCCTGCCTCATTCCTGCATTTCCCCTGCACATCCATCTCTCATATCCTAGCAGAGAACTAACAAGCAGCACAGAAAATGCGAGACCTGAACTTCCTCAGTAGCTTTGGGTCAGGTCAGCTAGCAGAAGAGTCCTGTGTCCTAGTGTGGGATGACAGATTTTAATAACCTCTTTGAACATGTATCCCTTACGCATAGTGACATGTGAGTTCCACAGAGGAAGGACTAAAGGGATGGGGAAAGCCAGCTGGAGAGATATAGAGGGATTTTGAAATCCAAGGAGTGGTTGGATGGTGTTTAATGGAAGCTATGTAAGTAGTTTACAGATCTAAGATAATGGTTTGTCCATCCATCCACTTCTAACCAGAGACAAAAATTCAATTTTGTTTTTCTTTTTAGCTGAAGAATATGGTTAGACTTGTACCCCTTTTTATTTTTTCAAGTGTGTACCACCACTATCTGTCTCTAGAAAGTGCTTCTTTATCTAGACATAATGCAGATGCAGGGATTGAAATAAGCTAATAAATGACAGTTTTGCAAAGCAGTATTTGATGTGTGCATTGCTGTAACAGACTATGCCATTTTGGCCTCTGCATAGGCTGCTTTTGTTTTTTGTTGTGTGCTTAATCATTCCTAAATGTTCCAGAGTCATTAGAGAGTTTAAGGCACTGCAGTTTGTGGCTGCTCAGCCTCAGATAGCTTTATGAGATAGGATGCTTGAACTTTGCTGCTCTTCTACAGCCAACCTCCTTTTCAGTCATGTATTTAAGTATCTTTAGAACAGAAAAGGAAGACCTGTAAGAGACTTTGGGAAACTACAGCTAGTGTTTGGCTGAGTTTCCTGGCAGGATCTCTACATTGCAATCAGGGGTGTGATTTGCAGTTAGTAAAGTTACAGTGGTTCAAGAGGTTGTTCAGCACTGACACCTTTTAAAGCTGCGAAGTATTTCTCCAGAGGGACATTCTCCTGGCCCTTCCAGGGGCTGGTTCTACAGCTAATTTAGCCTTTGATGATTCTTTTGCACCTTTGCCCATCCCTTGGATTCCTCTAAAGTAATGGCCTGTGTACACTGCTTTATTTACTGTCTCTAAGGAGGCAGTGGCGTGCCTAATTTGCCTGCCACATTGTGGACTAGCAAGAGAAGCCTCTCTATGGAAATAATTTATTCTACCTGAAACAAGGTTACAAATGAAGAAAGTAAGTGGCAGTCTCAGAGCCTACTTTATGGCAAAGATCCTCCTCAGCTGTTGATAAACGCTTGAGCAGAGGGAAACTGTGGTATAGTATGATAGACTATTTCTCTTCTGGGATTCCCTTGAACAATTTCCTTTTGGGACTATATTCTCTCTCTTTTGGTTTGAGACGGAATCTCTCCTCTCCCTTATACATGGCATTTGCTTGGCTCATGCTGGTAGTGCAGTGCAGGTAAAGTAAGTAGATACCCTCCTGCCCACCCCACCATGCAAGAGAAACAACGCATGTTTAGTTTGCAAACACCCATATTGGTTGCCATAAACTTTGTCAGGATTCAAAAACTAAATCCACAGATAAACCCTGCTTACAACAAGGTAAAATTGACTCCTGGACTGATACTCATCACACTAGAGAAGAGCCTAAATATGGTGCCTCAGCACACTCTCAGAAAAACCATTGGCATCGTGTTTTACTGCAGGAGATCTGCAGCCACCCTTACAGACTTAGGAGCCTGGGTGCTGGTTATAGGTATCTGTGTAGTTGTGCTTTTTGTGGATTCCCTCCTGTTGCCAGTCTTGGTTTATATAAGTTGTTAGTAAATCCAGTAGTTGATCTACTCCTTACTTTCTAAGATTATCAGAAGTAGGAACATTTGGTTTTCCACTTTACACCATTTGCTGCCATTTATTGCCATTTCATATAGGCTGGAGAAATATGCCCATAAGGCTTCTTCCTTCCTCCAGAACTGTCTCCTTAGGTAAGGTGCATACTTGATGCAATAAAGATTTGTGTTTCACCCTTGGTAATGTACCATGTTGAATTGAAAGTCCATACATCCATACCTGAAGATTGGCCCTCTCTCTGTTTTCGAACAGAAAGTCAGGTATGGTACAAAATCCACTCACAAGGTGTGTTT